TACAACCCAAATTTCCTCAAGTATAAGTAATTCTCGCAGAGCCTGGTGAACAGTTGTTGATCACATCATGTATGTGATCAATGAAACTTCGTCTGGATCGATAAATTGTGGGTTTTTTGTGGAGGAACTGGTTTTGAGTAGAGTTAGAATTCCTCTTCTTTCCTCTATGACTTTGACAAATTATAATTTGTTGTGTGAATCTCAGTTTCAAGTTAGTCTCTCTTTTCCAGTTCGCATTTCTGCACAATATCTGCGTATTAACGAGAGAAGATGCCTTGTCATCACGGTTAGTATGTTTGATTGTTCTTCTGAGCAATTTTTACTTTTTAACAAAGCTAGAGAAAATTGAAAATTTGCTCTCATTAAGTTTAGAGTAATTATAATTGGTACTACTTTTGCTGGATTCCTTTCATTCCTGCCACTATCATTGCATTTATGACTGCAGTTCTAATTTTCGGTATCATCATTATCGTTCAAAATAGGTAATTTATCTTTGGTATTAGATGACAAGTGCAAATATGAAAAAGATGACCTTTGTGAACCATTTTCACGTCAGTTCCGAATATAAGATTGGGGAAAGATATGTATTTCCGAATAACTTGTACGGTTTGATGTCCGAAATGATTTTGGCTATGTGGACTTTGGAAAGATTAAAAGCTTATTTTTGAAGGGAGGCTGAAATAGAATTTTGAAGTGTTATTTTGACCAATAGGTACTATTTTCTTACTTTTTAAATAGTTGATTCACTTATCGAGAATCAGCACTCATTTAGATCTCTCATATGTATTTATTTAATAATCAAATTGAAGGTAATTTAATTCAGTACAGTGCATGCAAATATAGGTTCGACATGGAAACCAAGCAACATGACGCGTGCAATTTTGGCATCGGTGGTACCGGGAGCTGTAGGACTAATCTGTTATAAGCCATTTTATGGCCAGAAAAGGGCAATCGACTTTTGGAATGTAGTTTTTCAAGCCTTCGAAATATTCATAACTACTAGCTGAGTGACGCTGAAGATTGTAATGTAATGCTAGCAAAAACTTTAATGGATCGACGGATTATAGATTTTTTGAGAAGATTTTTGATTTTTTTCATTAGTTTGGATTTTCAAGGAAGATTTTAAATTAGTTTATATTTATTGCAGTCTAGCAAGAAACCCAACTGGGCACCAAAATCTCTGCGCTTTTATGCTTGCGTAGATGCACTTACTATTTCGCCTATTGGCTATGCAAGCTATTTGGTTTATGAACATGGCGGAGGTAATAGATGTTTTATTTTCTTTGTTAGTGAATTTATTTTGAATTAACTTTTAACTTGTGACTTTGACTTGCGTGATTGAACCGATCATCATTATTTTATTTTCGTATAAGATTTGTGGAACAAAGTTACGACTCCATTGCAGTACTTTTCGTCTAATTGTAAGTCATTTCTGGATTTTTACAAATTATATGCGAATTCATTTCATAGTATCTTTGCAGCACAATAGTTTGCTTTGTAGGCTTCGCAAATCGGAATACTGCAATTTCACTCGGACTTAATGGCGGAAGTTTGGCATTTGGACTCGCTTCCATTCCATTCATGAATAGAAAAGATTTGGAATCGGTAGATGAAATCGATTTGTTTACTCATTGCAAATCAAAAGCCTCAGTTGTATATATCTAATCATTATTCATAATAAGCAGAAGCATTTTCCTGCTTTATGTGAGATGATAAGAAACGGAAAAATCATTACAGATGTTCTATATAAGCATTGCGATTCACTTAACAGCAGCTGGTGCAGCTCTTACTGCTTTTAAGGTTTATTTATTTCTTTGATTTAAAGTATGCGTTTCTCACTATGAAATAGCTAAATGTGGGGTAAAAATGCATAGCTCCGTTATTTTGCAGTTTAACTTTTATATACATTTAGCTCTTATCACTCGGATTTTTTAATAATTCAAAGGTAGTAATGAAAATCAAAATTTAATTGATTTCTTTTGAAAAAAAAGAGCAAAATTAGGGAATCAACGATGATATCAATCAGTTCAAGAACTTGCAACCTAATGTCAGAAAACATCAATTTCAAAGTTTGAAGAAAGTAGAAAAATAGTGATTTAACTTTGAAATGATGCAAATATTAGCTTAAGCTTTTTTCAGATTAACCATGCTGCTGGAGTATTGATGGTGCCGTATGTGCTGTGGACAGGATTTTGTACTGGCTTGTTATATGCAATGGGGAAAATGAATTGCAAGAAAAATTGATTTAATTCAAAATTTAAGCTTCAAATCGTATCGGTGAAATCAATGAATGTATGCACAAATTGCTTTGAGTCAAATTTTTGGTTAAAAAAATTGACTCGAAGCAATTTGTGCATAAATGTAAGCTACAAATTTTTATGATTTAATTTTTGTAACTGATGCTGAAACACATAATGCATGAGATTTTTGAATTGGATTTTAATGTGTATTTTTATCACAAATCATGCTGCGAATTATTTAAGCTAGTAATTCTATACTCTTTTATTTGTATACAGAAAGTGAGTTGATTTGTAGATAGAACTAAACTGATCTAAATCACAAACGTTGAAAAGGCTTACATGAAATCAGAGACGAAGTTAGTTTGTTTTTTCCTGACAGTATAGCTAATTTTACTTCGATATGCTGATTCAGTCAATTTATTAAAATCTCATATATGGAAATCTTGTGGGAGAAATGCAAGGAAAACATCAATTTCAGAGTTTGAAGAAAGTAGAAAAATAGTGATTTAGCTTTTAAATGATGCAAATATTAGTTTACACGATTTAATTGTCAACAGTATTCAGTTACCTAAATAAAAACATAAACAGCAAGTAACTCATTGTACTGCGCAGGAATTTCTTGAATAAAGTGTGCCTTCTTTCATTGAAAAGCGTTAGATACCGGAAAAGATTAAAAGGTTATCACTAATTTAAGTCTGACAAGGATGAACTACGAGCTTCAACAATAAATAAATTCCATTTAAAAAAAATATAAAAACCAATAAGAAACATAGAGGTTAAAATTTAGGAACGTACGAATATGCTTCAGGGCACCAAGTATTCTGAGTAGTGACGACACATTCTTGCGTTCCTAAATTTAGGATAGGTTTAAACTGGGAAGGAGTTGACCCATGACATGCGACAGTTAGTCTTCTGCGTGACAAATAGAAAACCCAATGTGATACGGGACCCCACACTATTCGCAGATGTGGTCGGGCTGGTTTTTGGTTATTTATATATATATACCTACCATATACACCTGTGTAATTATCTTGAGATTGTAGGAATGGTCGTAGTTATCTATATCCGTGACAACGCAAATACTTAAACTTGTAGTGCTGAGTGATGAGAGCAATCTAAATTTCAGCATTAATTAAGTATAAGGATGTGGCGGAATTGCTACTGCAAAGAATAGTTACTCTTCTTGCTTACTGCTTCCTGCACTTTCGTTCATGTGTGCATGGATATATTTCGTGCACAACAATTCAGGTAGTGTGGAGAGTTGTGTAGATCTTCTCTGCAGTCTACGTGGATGACTCGCTGCACAAATGTAATCAAAAGTCATTTATGTGAAATATCACTCACTCAAAGTTATAATATTAATGTAGTAATTACTTCTAATCTCTGTGCTCTGTGCTCGCTTCATTTGAGTCACGATGTTCTCTTCCACGCCAAACTATAGTCGTTAATGTGCGTACAGGAGCCCGACATCAGCGTTCATTCTCGACTACAAGCATGGAACAGAACATGGTGTCCTTCCTCACGCATACATATAATTGTCAGAAATCAGCTTGCCCCTGACAATAACAGACAGACTTTTCCATTCCCCACGCCCTCATCATACGTATGCATATAGGAGCATTATGTTGACACACACTATCCTGCCGTGAAATCGATAATTGATCCTGTGTAGGTACGTTTACCATCGTTGTCACTCACTTCATCTCAATGTAAAAAAGTAACGCTATAAAGAAAGGGAAGAAGGAAAGAAGCAAGAAAAATAAAAAAGAGCGTAGAGTAAGTGAGAAGCAGGATGATGCAGAAATAAGTTGTAGCGAAAAGATCATGTCATCACTTATCCATTGCTTTCTTTACACGAAAAAGCGATAGTGACCGTTTGTTTTATTTATACATTTAGGCTATAGTGTAGTTTGTGATCGGAAAATGGGGTCACATAAGTCTGCGAATAATGTAGAATCACGCATTAGGTTTTCTGTTCAAGTTATGCAGCAGACTGAGTGTCGCATGATGCTAGGTCAGGTTCTTCCACTTTAAACCTACTGTCTTATGTTTTTTATGAAGTAACCTGTATATATCAGCTCAAATACTTTGCACTTCTTATCATCTGTTCTTCACCCGAATTATATACCATTTACTTTTGATGAATAATACTTCATTCTCGACTTAAAGCATTGCAATTTATGCCGAACACCATAAATTTAGAACAAGAACCTTACACTTTTAATCAGATACACAACAACCGTAATTCATTCTTTCTGACTAAAAACCAGATATCCAGTATTTAAGGATGAAAAGCCTTACATCTCTTATTAGCTTCGCCACATTCTTAATTTAGTTCCTTGCTACATTTTAAGACAGAGACCTTGTTGTGTTTTCAAGTACCTAGCATTTCTGATTAAGCTCCTTAATAAAGTGTCCTACTTTCTGAATTAAATCGCATATATCTAAGATCAAGTATTTCATTTTCGTGATCGAGTATCATTACACTTTAGTAATTATCATTTTAACGTTATCATCCAAATCTATTTTTGTGCGTTCTCACATTGAATTCTAAAATGAGTTTCCTCTTTCCTATAAAATATCTATTCTTAAGAATAGATGAGCAGTTGATCTTAGTAATTAGTATTTCAGAAGATTTTTTTTTGGCCTGCTTCAAAATGTAATCATGTATTCTTGATACTGAGTAGATTTTCCTTGAAATCTTTTGATTTGAAAAGCTTGTTGTTGTCTCTCTGTGAATGTATTCATTGGTGGCTATTTTCATCATATATCATTATCTTCTTGCATAATTGTAAAGTTGTATTTATCTCATTACATACTGTGTTGAAAGTTAATCCATGTTCAATAAATAAATGTTGCAAGAAAAAAAGATGAAACGTTTTGGAATGGAACCAATCTGGACGTCCCACGACACTAGAAATGTTGTCTTAGCTAGTTTAGTACCTGGTACAACTGCTTTAACAGCATTTGCCGTTTTCGCTAAGGATCGTCAAGTTGTCGACTGGTGGTCTGTAAGTTCTGTTCCTTTTTTCTTTTTTCTCGTTGTCGTTATATCTACTTATATGGTAGCCATAGCATATTCTCAACATTACCATATATAGTTTGTTATTAAAATATTCTATCAAGTGAGTTTTTAAATTAATTTTGGAGACTTCGGTACTTATCAGTTATATAATTATTTAGCGATTAACCAACGTCAGATATATCTGAAGATTTTTGATTCTTCAGCATGCAAAAAAACCTGACTGGGCTCCCACAAACCCTGCGATTTATTCTGTATTTGATATTCTAACGCTGAGTCCTTTGGGATACGCATCTTATCTTGTTTACAAAAATGGAGGAGGTAATAGCACCAAATTTCAAAATTTTTAATAATCAGCGTAAATACTGTCGTGTGTAATAAATTTTAGTGATATACTGATTTCAGAAATCATAGGTCATATTAGAGTTTATTGATAAAATTTTCTCAAAAAATTTGTTACTTTCAAATGCGAATTTGAATTTTGAAATATTTTTTTATAGGTAATGAGTGTTAGATTCATGCTGATTATACTTTAAATGAATGAATTCACTTCATATTCTAACCGAATTTAAAGATTAGTGTTTCAATGCATTGTTGTATTTATAAGACATGCTTGCAATACACGTTCAGCGTTATTATTTTGAAATATTTCAAGGACTTGTTCCTAGCGTTTGTGAAAATAATGATCTGATAAATTTTCTAAAAATTTATTTCTCACAATTGCAAGCTTCAGGCCTTCATTACAATGATACAAAGTTTGCCTTGGGAATATATGGCCTAAATATGATTTTCGCTCTTACAACAATTCCTCTGATCAAAAAAAGAAGTTTTCTTTACGTAAGTAACTCTTACTTCATACTATTTAGTTCAAAACAAATTTAAAATGACACTTTTTTATTTCATGATTTTTGTTTTTAAACTTCGCTAGATAAATTTTATTTAGTTATTTCGAAACACTGTACTTCTGAATGCAACAGCAATTGGTGCAGCTTACGCATTTTATGGGGTTTGTTGAAATTGATTTATTTTTTTAGCTATACTAAAACTGAAGTTCTCTATCTTTTAAGAATGTGTCAATAATTTGAATGAATCCTACCAGTTAATTTTTTGTAGCTAAAAAAAGCGGATCATTTGAATAAAAAGCAGAGATACAAACTATTTAACAATAATTAATTAATTGATGTCCCATATTCTCATTGCTGATGTAATAGATTGATTTTTTTAAAAATCGAAAATGATTCAGCAAGTGAAATTTTTTTTGTTGTTTTTTTAATTTTATTTGTATGATGAAAATTTTAACTTAGAAAACAAGTTCAATGTTAATGAATTGTTTTTCTTTGGAAGTTTATGAGTAGTTTTGTAATATTTCAGATTGATAAGACTGCTGGTAAACTCTTGATTCCTTACGCAATTTGGACCGGGTTTTATGCTTTTCTTACCTATGCCATGAATAAAGAAAACGCATCACATCATTAGTAGTCTAATGGTAACTTTATATCAAGCTTACTGTTTTTTTCCTTATCGAGTTTTATACCAATTTTGTATTGTTGTAATTTATTTTTCAAATAATTTGAACGTAATTATCAATAAAGTTGTACTGTTTTATAGTTTTAGCTTACTTGTCACAGATGATTCACACATTTGAAGAATGTGACCCTTGTGTATCAAGATTGATTGACCCGTGGAAATAGTGTGATATTTAGATTCAATGTCTTTTCACTCAGTTTAAAAAAATTTTGATTTTACTTTTCATTAAATTTCAAATTGGTCAGAATCAGTTTGCGTCGGTTAAACAATTTTATTAATACAAGCAATTTTATGTCATCAAATTCAAGGATTATCACAAAAATCTTTTCATGTATTTTAGTTCAAAAAAACATAGGAAGTAAAAGTATTGTTAAGGAATAATTTAGTGTATTTGTTGTTTATAAAATTTCGTTTTGCTTATCTATATTTTATGCTAAAGTTCTTGATATTGCGAAGTATGTTTTTGTAATTTAGAAAATAATTTTACTATTTGATGGCTGCTAATTATATTACCTGATGTATTGTAAGCTTGAGTATCTCTGTTTTTTCTTTTTCAATAAAATTAAAATCGCCTTTTCAATTTAGTAATTAGTCCAACAGGGTATCACAGCTGATCACCTCTATTAATATTTTGTTTATAATCAGTTTTAAATTTTGTCTTTCAGTTACTAAGATTAAGAATATCGCGGTTCACTCGTTAATTTAATGTGGTGAACCGCAATAGTGTTTTTGGTTTTAGGGAATGTCCAGTTATTTCTTCAACTCAGAACTCAGCTTTTACGCATGATTAGTTCATGGCCAAAGAAATGAGACACTATTGACGAATTTCGTATCATTGTTTTAGTTCCTAATGTAAATATGATTTTACTCCTATACGGGATTATTTTTGACCCATATTAATACAGTAATTAAGCATCAGTCATATTCAGAAAGACATTACGCAAATATTTTTATCGTAGGCAGTTTATGAGTTGTGTAGTCTTCTTATATTTCAAATTCTTTAAGTTGAACGAATCCTTGCGCAAATGAAATATTTTATCCAGATTACATTTTTTTCAGTTTATCAAACTTCCTATTTCAGTATGGCTTGTCACGATTCAGATGAAGAAGTGATCTATAAGAAAGTACGTCTTATTTGGTATTTTCACTACCTGTCTTTTAAGCGCAATTTATGCACGGAATGCGTTAACAATTTATCTAATTTAGCTTTCCTGTTTCTATAGTTCAATAAATGTTAATACCTTCAAGGAATAATCACAAGATAATATCCCTTGTACCATATTATGAAATGGTCTTTTTAAGGAGGACCATAACGACGTAGAAAATGAAGATGTTTGGGATGATAGTGCGCTGATTAAAATGTATGATGAAATGGTCAACAAGACCTACGTTAGTTTTTGGTTGACACTGATTCCCAGTCTCGTCAAATAATCATGACACTTCAAACTTTTAATGATTATTTCAAACATACTCATATTTTGGATTATAAATTATTTTTTGTTGATGCTATCACTAAGAACACATGTATGAGACATTTCCAGGATTCTCTCGATTATCAAGGTACTTCAACAAAAAAAATTAAAAAAGCTCAAGGAAGAAAGGTTTGTTTGTCTTGTTGTTATTAATCATAGTTTCAATTTCATTAAGACTGTAGGAAAGAGAATAATTGGGTAGGAATATTTATTAGACTTGTGCTAGAAATACTTTCAGGACCTCTTATTTTTTATATCTAATAAATTAACTCTCAACTTTTTGTAGTGGAATGTAAATGATCATTGTTTGGCACCGTACTACCATGACCAGTTATGGTATCCGGCTATTATTAAAAGATTCGGTGGAAAGCACTCTGATAAGTGTGAAGTATTGTATGATGTTTACGATGAATTAGCTTGGGTTAATATCGAGGATCTCATACAGTAAGTGGATTCATGTGTTTTGGTGTAAGAAAAATGATGTTCGACTTCATATCTTGAAACTTTTAAATAACAGTCTTCAAAAATGGTCCAGCATTTTTTATTTAGCATAGAGTCTTAAATACTAATATTTATTTAAGAATATAAAGATTGTACCTTATTTGTTATGATTTAATTTTGTTCTGCAATAACCCTTTACTGAATTCACTAGAAAGTTTTGCCAATATTTTAATCATGAAATTAATCACGTGTGTAATTGGAATTGTTGATAGGTAAATAAGCAGCCAGGAAATATTGAAGCGAAAATTTGCTTATCTAGATTTAATGTTTTAGATTTAATAGTGTGTTGACTAGTTATAGAGGAGAAATTTCGGTGGATTGTTAGGCGAGCGGATAAGGCTATGTCTTAACAAATATGTTTAGGAAAAAAATATTTCGCTGAGGAAGAAAATTTTTGAGATTTTGTAAATTTGTACAAAAAAAGGTCTGATGTTGTTATATTCTTTTGTTTGGGTATTTCAGATGAGATCACTTATTTTACTTGCTGTGGAAAGCGTTCGTTGCTCATTTTTGAAGTTCACATTCTGTTTCAAAAACTTGCACATCCTTAGTTTTCGTTTTGAATTTATGTATGCAAAAGATTTACAAAGATTTAGTCTCAGGTTACATATTTACTACATATATTGGGACGAAGCAAATATTTTGGCATGGGCAGTTAGTTGCTTTCTTCATTCATGTTACTTTATTGCGTGACTTGAATTGACAGTTACGAGCTATGTTAAAAGTTCAGTTCTGTAAAACAGGCGCTTTTCCTGGACCTTATATAATATTCATATTTCCACCATTTGTCTTAAAATTACCAGTTCTATGCATTGAGTGCGAGAAAAAAATAGCGGACATCTATTTTAAATGAATTGGAGTTTTTTTCGCTAACACTTATAAACATATATACGTAAAGATAATTCATATACATGTTTCTGTAATTAAATTCGAGCATTAATTGTGGTCCTGAGGTGGTAAAGACTCCGTACTAATTCTCACTTGCTATAGTCTGAAGAATCGAAGATTGCTTTCATTTTGTTTTATTCTCTTAATTAAACAGGATATCAGAATGTGGCGAGAATATACCAAATTTTAACAACTTTGGTGGTGAATACCCAAGAAATATCAAAATCCCGTTTGCTATGCAGTCTTCATCAAGGCATCATTATAATGCCGTAAGTTCCATAAGATTACTAGATATCAATTTCGCAATCAAATTTTAAACCGACGAGATGTTTAGAAGCTAAGTCATAGAATCTACTTTCTAATGTTTTATTCTGTAAAAAACCTTATTTGTAAAGACCTTACTCGTTATCTTTGTCTTTTAACAATACAGTAGTAAAGTTTGTCTTTCAATAATATATGTAACAACTGAAATGGGATAAAAACACTGCATATTTTGGTTTCAATTACTTTTTAGATTCCATCAGTCATTCCACCACCTCCAAAAGTATTTTCATCTATGCAAATGCCAAATGAGGAAGAGGCTTTGACAAGTATGCTGATGTCTTGGTATATGACCGGTTACCACACAGGTTATTATCAGGTGTGATGTTTTCTACTACCATTATTTGATCCTGTCAAATCTAAGACCTGCATCAGTTTTGTGAATGGAATTAAACAGTGTCAAGAATGAGCATTGTTTATGGTTTGAAATGATAATGTTGCATTTCTAGGCTCTTCAAGATCAGAAGAAAATAGAAGACAGTGCATCCCAGTAATTATGAAAGACCGATTGGTTACATGCGCTCTACTTCACTTCTGTTCTCACACCCATTATGCAGCATTACTAAAGAAGTTTTCTTCTAATTTTTTTCAATGGTGGTCTCATAATGTGAATTATTTAACATTTTATTAAAAAACCGCTGGCACCTTGATCCCAAATTTTTTGGTTCCAATGATTCATGCACTGTATCTTCGAAAAAAATGAGAACCGTTTTTCTAAGAGAGCAGACGTCGTCATCTGTGAAATTAGTCTAAGTATTAATTTGAAGAAATTGACAGATTAGTCCTTCTATGCTATTGTTAAGCATGCATACAATAATTAAACAGGTGCTTGTAAAGTAGGGTTCCAAGCATCAGTAGTGTTCTCATAGGTACTGCAATGAGGCATTATGGTGTTGAGCCTTGCCACATTTATCGCACCTTTCCTTCAAATTTGAGATATTTGTTATTTTTGTTGAATTAAGCATTCAATTTTTCTGAAATAAAAGTCTCAAAGTATTTACTTTGTAGAAAACTTTTAAGATGCATTCAATACTTATTTCTGTCTCAAGGCAAGCATAAATGACCAGAGAGATTTTAAAAAATAAATCGTTTAATGCGAATTGAAGATAATATATAAGGTGCAGCTGTGCAGGTGCATGTATCATATGTGCATGAGTGGTATAGCTTCTTATACGCTTCACGTGACGTATAAGCATTCAATTTTTTCTGATCGAAAGACGAGAATGACAAATCATATTACAGAGCACAATCGCAACTAACAGTTTGACAGATTGCTGCCATATAAAAATTGCTTTGAGAAAGTAAAAGAGTTATAAACTGATACGTTAGTAGAAGACTGTAGAATTCAATCGTAGATAGAATGGGTACTGCACATAAGTTATCGTTGCTGTGAGTCCTCGATGTTCTTTAGGGAGTTTGCTTCAGTGGATCAAATATTTGAATTTTTTTGTTTTTCTCAGCAACAGTCGCAGATTCTTCTGCTGCCTTCTTTGCAGCTGCCGCTTCTTGCTTTTTGCGCATGATATCCGCATCTCGTTCCATTCTGTTATCTAACTTTACACCCTGAAAAGTTGCAATTTCATAACCTGACCACATATTAGGGTAGTGAACTTGACAGCACAAAATATTTCCAGAAGTTACTGAATCCTGACCTCATCATGCTTTGCTTCTTACACTAACATCCATGCGCACATGTGCTCTCACCCATACATTAGAACTACTACGAACTACTTTTACTTTTTTGCTGATTACCAATTTTACCCTTGAAGTTTTCTTTGCTTACATGCTCAGTGCATGATTCTTTCTTCGCTGAGAACAGTAATCTCTGATTTCCTTTTTTAATTTTTTAATTTGTTATTTGATATTAGCATTATTGACGTAAAGTCTTCAACCTAGGGTGATAAGTACATAACTTCAAAAATTCATGGATATAATAGCTCAAATTTTCTTCTTAAAATCAAGCTGAAACTTCTTTGCAATAAAAAATTTAACCAACATCTTGATGAGGTTGAGATTTTTTTTGCTGTTGCTGCTTTTTCAAATTCCTTTCACGAGCTAATTCGCGTTGGTTACCTCCTTAAATAAGTGCTTTTGATGACACGAATATTATTTGACATGAGTCTGACATTTTTCCAAACTCTAATGGAAATTCAGAAGTCAATATTCATAGAATAATTAGACTTAGGAATGAAACGGCGCGGTTAAAAAGTATCAGCAAGTGCAATATGTAGCAAATAACTTACTGGTCATTTGCGATGAACTATACTGGGGTCAAAAGTCGTCGATAATATCTATGTACAATAATGTAATGAAGGATTTGTTCGTTCGTTATCGACACAAACAAGAAAAATTTGGAGTTTGAATTGAGCGTGAAGCCAGCTGAACACAGCAACGCACTGGAAGGGGCAACCAATTCACTACAAATAACTGAAAATTCTTCTCAGCGATCTTTCTTGACACATGTATGTACACACCTATACACACACAATTGCGAACTACACGCACACCCATGCACAACACACACATACATGCGCCACATGTGTTCGCAGAAACTGGTATTATCAATATAGATGGGAATTTCGCGGATCGGCCAATCAGCCATACACTTTTACACTATGAACTTTGTTCTGGAATTGAATTTTCTCACTGGATGTAAGAGTAAGGGGAAGGGATGTTGTAACATGACATTTGACGTTTTTAGATTATGAAAAGATGATTACATGTGTAATCATTTAGTTCTAAAGGATTTCGGTGGAATACCCATTTTTATGATTCTTGGTGCATTTTCTTGCAGCAAAAATCATAAAAATGCTGCGATCAGAACATGCATTGCCGGGCACTGTTCATTCTGAGAATTAAAAGGTGGGTGTGCTTTGTACTAGGAGGAAGCAACCGACCTGCTAGTTATGAACTGGAGAATGGCAATGAATGGAAGGCATTAATACTCATAATTTATTGCAGATTAACATTGTAATTCGCTGGATGGAACAAAGAGGCAAGATAACTTACCACTGGTCTTACTGATATTTGTTAATGGTTGAGTTCGAGACTGAATGTGTCTTGAAGCTAGCATACTAATGAATGACCTCTATCTATCGTTAAATCTCGTGTGTGCCTTTTTGAATCTAAGATTAGTCGGAAAAAGTGTGGCATTTACTGTGTCTCTTGAAGAAAATTAACTGAGCAGAATTCAGTACTGTGAGCGCAAATTAATATCAGCATTTTCTTGACAAAAAGTACTGAAACTTGACAAGTATCTTTTTCAACAATTGTCTTCCAACTGCTTGTCTGTTTTGAAAGCAAGCTTTGCTTGAAATAGCAAGTACACTTAAGGTTTGTTGTGCATCTAAATTCTAAAGTAATTATGCTTTAAGCGAAGATTGGCGACATTTAATAAAGAGTTTATCTCATATTATTGGTGAGCTTTATTCAACAACAGACAGTTATTCAACCTCAATTTGCTTATAATTTCCCTCCAAAACAATCTGTTCATTTTTGTTTCAGTATCTTCTACAGCTCTGCCTCATACTTGCAATGCATCATGCAGTGAATCTTCACAAGCCATCAAGCACAAATTTAATATTTTGGTGATTTCGTGATGGATTCTAATGCTATCTGCATCTGCCTTATAAATTCATTGCGAAAACTTGAGCGATTCTTGTTATTTTTTTATGTCAAGTACCGAAAAAATCAAATACCGCAATAATCAGAGTGAAATCTACTTTAGTAGTGCATTAAGTTATCTCACCAAAATATAGATCAGTGAAGAAATTCGATAAACCTAAGATATTCTGGTTGTAAACAAGTTTTGAGCGATTATATTAAATAATACCACGATCCAGTTATTATTTCTCGCAATATTAGTAGGATATCAGTATTTCTCAGAAAAATTATATATAAGATGACGAAGCTCAGTCGAAGCAAAACTTTACTGTTTTAAAGCGTTTAAAACTTTCACGTTCAATTTAGCAGCTTTATTCATTTGCAGGCAAAAATAAGAACAGATTGAGCAACTGTACAAAATGTATTACCAACTTTTTGAAAGAAGAAATGGTGTAACTGAAAAGTTTTTGGATAGCGTATCCATTTATATCCTGGTAATGGAAATTCACAACAATATAATATTATTTTCTACGCATTAAAAGTATAGGACAATTTTAGGCCTTTTTTGTATGTAATGTAATCAACAATTTATAGAAAAAGAACATGAAATGGTATATTTTTGGAATAAAGGTCTTGCAGGTATCACTTTCAAGTGATTTATTGATCGTTAAAACTTCCGGTAAAGCATTTCATTTCGGTTCATAAACTCCCACCCTGTATTATATCAGCACTTTTTATGTTACCACTACATTGCTTGCCCTTTATGGTCTGTTTTTTGCCTACGAACAGATAAGACATTTTTTTATTTTTTATCAGCTCCAAGCACTATTTTCTTTCAGTATTAATACTTGTCACGCGATCACAGCAACGGAGATCAAAATTTATATAACTGACGATAAAAATATCAACACACTGCACTGAAATGTACAGAAATTGCAAGAGAATAGAATTTGTGCTATTCTATTTGCGTGTTGAGCAGATGTCCACTTCAGTCTTAAGATTATCAATTAAAGTAAAGAAATAGCAAGGTGACATTTCCGTTGATTTCTTCGTTCAACTGATTCGTTGGTTCAACCGTACATACGGAGTACATCATCGCTAACGGATTTGTGATCTCAGACCAATAAAATGAGAAGAATGAATTGATTAAATACTTTAAAGAGCATACAGTTCGGCAGTAAAATGGCAACCGATTCCAAACTGTGAAAACTGAAAGAAGCAGTAAAACTGAATTTAATTTGGACTGAGGCATAAGATGCTGATTAAACTGATATTTCAGAAAGCAACAAGAGAACCACAAATATTCAACTTTTGGCAAGCTAAACTTGTCTTTCTGTAAATTTTGTACTTGAATTCATCAGCAATTCGTGCTTTAATGTTTGGCAGTAACTTGACAAAGATTATCAGTGATTTGCGAGTCACTACCCAAGACACAGTGCAGTCCTAATGCGAAACATTACGCATTACGGCTTGTAAATTATAATATTATAAACCAAACTGCCCACATAAATTATATGGTTGAATTCCTGCAGGAACGCAAAAACAAAATTGGTTTGTATCTAAATTAATGCAAGAGATTACTCTATTTTTGAAGTTCATTTTTGCCCACTAGACAGCCACAAGTCAGAGGTAATTATTGCATGTTACGTTGAAATAGCTTTCAACTTAGGATACTGCGTTTGGTTAAAACCATGTCTGTTTCTGTAATCACAGGGTACTCCCTATTTATTTTATATTTTCTAAAAATTTGCACAAAATTTTTTTTTCGCAAGTGCGCATCTGCACTTAGCATGCACTACAGAAGTTATAGCTTGCAATTACGAATTCCATCTGTGCATAGAACATAGAACATCTGAAATGAAAAATGATTGCATCTTTAATTCTGGACAGCTTTTCAACCTACGCTAATTTTTCTCTCAACAAATAAATTCGTATAAAGAATTTTTTGTCAAGAAATCCGACTACTGTTTTATAAATCAAATAACAGATTCTATCCAAATCAAAGAATTTTTTTGCAAGTTCAACGAAGTATGAAATGAACTAAGAATTAGAAGCAAATGTGTAGGCTAGTCATTTTTTTCGTTGCAGTGATTCTGACGCTGGACCGTATTCCGGTCCTCTGGCTGTACTTGTCTCGCCGCTCAGATTTGTTGTGCTGATTTTTTTTGCTTCGCCCTCTTGAAATCCATAGCGATTACCAAATTGAATGCTTTCGAGCGTTTTCTTGAGAACTATCGATTGAATATGTGCCTCAACATGATCAGATATACTGATCTCCTTCGCATAGTGTCTGTAGAAGTTCGTTGCGATCTCATTCCAAGTCATCACATACGGAATTATTCTGATCCTGTATCTCATCTCTGACTCAAGTTTATTAGTCAGTAGGTCATTTTTATCTCAATTGTTATCAACCTGCTCTGATCAGTGATGCCAAACTCTATCAGAATTACTTTGTGTCGCTTCTTATCATATACCAAGATGTCCGTCGATTCACTCTTATTCTAATTGCTGTTCTCATTCGCGTGTGGAATCTGATTTCTACGTTCTCATTAGCGACGATTTCCTGAATGGAGTGGCTCCAACGCATTAGATTCTTGCACTGATAAATTCAATAAAAGGCTTTGCAAGGAAGAGCTCGAAAGACTAAATTTAAGAAACCAAAAATCAGAAAAAACCATATATTGTCATGGCTTATAATTAATAAAAAATTCTCTAAGCTAGCAAAGAAAGCTATGCTGCACCAGGCATCTGCCCAATTTTTGTTTCAAAAATTGTCTATTACTGTATGAATTTGTTGCATCAAACAAAACACATTGAGTGAAAACTTAGCACTAACTTCTGTATGGCTTTGCGCAGTGATTTTATAGTTCTCATTGTTGTATTTTTAGGCTAGTAATTAAGGCAACAACAAAAGTGCCTAAATTGCACTGCTTTTTGTCTTGTTATTTAACTTCTCTAAATTTTTTTCGTCATATCGCAAGAGCTATACAGAATAATCAAAATGCGAAAAGAGATCTATTTGCTAGGCTTTTTAAACTTGTAAAATCGTTAATGAGCACAATTTTTCAGCACTGAATCACTGAACTTCAGTCATCTCATTTTTATGAGAAGACTACAGCGATTTCATGTTATACACGTTTCATCGAAAAATGTGCGTAATGCATAAATTGATAAGAAAAAAATTGATCGCAAAATAAAAATCTACTTCTTATGATAGCGAAATATATTTCAAAGCAGTTAAGAACGCGACGATTTTTGTATACTCATTTATTTGACACCCACCAGCAAAAGCATTGAGCACAAGATGAAATAACTGCTTATTAATGAACGTGAATAATAATGGAATTCAAGAAGTAAAATCCGTTAACATGTGATAATTATCTATTTTTTATGTATCGTTAATCAATAAAAATCATTTTCACCAAACTGTTATGTACTCGAATTACTGTGCTACAATAAATAACTCAAAATAAAGCGAGAAAAGAAAAGAAAACAAACAGATAGACTTATTAATGAACGATTGAAACCACATATGTGCGCCCAAATTAATCAGCGGGATGTCCAGGCATGTCGAAATTTATCTATAATTAAATTACAAATTTCGTTCAAATTAATAATAACTAATCATTTTGATAAGATCAGATAAT